CCCGTGGCTCTCAGCCCCTGTTCTCTTCCACCGCAGATGTTGCAAATCCCTCCACGATTACTGATGCAGCGAAGATCGTGGAGGGGAAGCTGAACGGCACGGGCTTGAACCTGCTAATAAACAACGCTGGCATCTACACCCCGACGGCGTCGTTGGAGACGGTAGATGCTGAAGAGATGATAAGGACGTACAAGACCAATGCGGTGGGGCCAATGCTGATGGCCCAGGTATAGATGAAGCTCTGGGGATGGAGCTCATGGCAAAGGGTGAAATTGGCCCAGCTTGAGGGTAGCCCAGACCGTCCATGGTCACGATGGAGATCTCGGGGGGCTTTGCAAGTTTTCTGGGGCCGTGGGAGGGAGGGGGCAGTGCTAGGGCTGCCCAAGCCCTCTGTAGCCCCTCTGCGTTGTGCTGGGCTAACTGGGAGCAGGCAGGGCCCCTGCAGTAAAGCACCCGGGCTCTCTTGGCTTCCTTGGCCCAGCTTGAGGGTAGCCCAGACCGTCCATGGTCACGATGGAGATCTCGGGGGGCTTTGCAAGTTTTCTGGGGCCGTGGGAGGGAGGGGGCAGTGCTAGGGCTGCCCAAGCCCTCTGTAGCCCCTCTGCGTTGTGCTGGGCTAACTGGGAGCAGGCAGGGCCCCTGCAGTAAAGCACCCGGGCTCTCTTGGCTTCCCGGCCATAAGTGGGGCTGGCTGGCTTGAGGCACAGGCATCCCACAAGGCTGCTTCTCCCCAGGCGTTCCTGCCCCTGTTGAAGAAGGCTGCCCAGAAGAGCACAGAAAAGGGACTGAGTTGCAGCAAGGCAGCCATCATCAACATCTCCACCATCATGGGGTCCATCGAGAAAACGCCCGAGTCCTTCTTCAAGCCTGTCATCTCCTACCGCTGCAGTAAGGTATGGAGACTGGGGACCTGCCCGTGCTCCTGAGCTTGGTGGGAGTCAGAGCTGCCCCTTGCCAGGCCTGATCTCAGGGGAGCACCTGAGATCGCGAGATGGAGGCACCGATCCATGCTGACCGCTGCCCAAGCTCCCTGAGCATCTCCGTGCCCGGCTGCTGCCCACCTAAGGGAGACACAGACTACCTCTTGAAGGCCTGGCATTGCTTTTTCTCCCTCAGCGATGGGAGGGGAGCCTGGTGCGTGGAGCTTTCTACTACCCATGGCTGACGCTTTCTTCCTCCCCCAGGCTGCCCTCAACATGCTCACCAGGTGCCAGGCTCTGACCTATGGGGAAGCCGGTATCCTCTGCGTGGCACTTCACCCCGGCTGGGTCAAAACCGACATGGGCAGCCAGGAGGTGCGTTCCAGCTGAGCAGGTCCAGGGGGGGACCCATGGGCAGGACCCCAGCCTACAAACTTGCACAGGAGGTCCCTCAGGTGGCTGAGCTGGCTCTTGGGAGGAGGGATCCATGCGAGAACGAGCTGCCTCTTAGGCTGCAAGTTGCCTGCGTCTGTGCTGGGACACTGCAGAACATGTGGGTGCTGCCTGGGATACAGCATCAGCACACATCTGGGGTGAGCAGGAGGCCTGTTCAGTGGGGAAGGGGCTTTGGGCAGCCTGGAGATGTGCAGAGAACCTACATTTGGTAGAGCAGGGAGGAGAGAAGCAGCAGCATCCCATCCTGTGCCCCCTTCCTCATAGAGCTGCAGGTCCATGAGGTTTCCACTCATCCCGCAGGATCTCTGTTTTGAGGTGGGGGTGGTCCCTGCAACACTGGAGTTTTGAGAAGGCTGCATGTAGCATCTTGCTCGCAGCAGGGATCTCTTATGTGTCCTATCGGGTTAAACCTGTAGCTGGCTTCCCAGCACGAGCCAATGCCTTCCAAGCCATCAGTGAGCATGCGGGTACCCAACCATCCTCCCACGTCATGGACTCATCCCACCTCCCGTGGCTCTCTGCTCGGTCTGGGTGGAAGGAGCCTTGCTGCTGATGTGCACAAGCTGAGCGGGTGCTGGTGGATGGCCGGCAATAACGATGGTCTTTCGGTCCTGCTCCCCGCTTGTGCCCGTTGCAGGCTGACCTGACCGTGGACACAAGTGTGCGAGGGCTGCTGTCCGTACTGCCGAGCCTCTCTGAGAAACACAGTGGGACTCTGCTCAACTGGGAAGGTAACGCTATTCCTTGGTGACTGCTCTCTGTCCCTGCAAGGGACCCCGCAGTGCCAGGGGACTCTTTGGATCACTGGGATGCTCAGCCCTCCGTGGTCTGCAAGGGACCTACTTGGGACTTCAATGGATGTGCAGGGCAGCCTGTGGTCCCTGCCTTCACGTTGCTAATAAATAAAGTCAAGCAGTACCTGTGCCTTCTCCCAGCTGCAATGCCACCACTGAAATGGTCTCTGCCCTGGCCTGGAGCTGGTCCCTGCAAAAAATAACCCAGCATTATAGCAGTCTGCCTGCCTTGCCTTCGGCTGCTCTGAGCCGAAGGGAGGTCCCACGGGGCACGTAACCAGCCCAGAGCCCTGCTGTCCTCCCTGGCTGCTGAAAGTGCCCAGGTCTGCCTGCTTTCTGCCAGGCTTCCCCCCAAAACGTGGTGTCTTTGCTAGAGATTTCTTGGGGGCACTTTGTGCTGGACATGGGGTCTTCGGGAGCAGCCTTGGGGCTGGAATGGGAGGACCAAGCACTCCAGTCCAGTTCTGCAACCCCAGGCAGCCAGCTCTTCCCATAGTGGAGCCCTAACTGGGCACAGTACCCCTGGGTGGGGGAAATCTGCTCCCACGGGTGAGCACAGCATGGGAATGGCACTGCTGCGGGATGAAGCAGCTGAGAACCTTAACAAAATGGGCCAGGCAGCCCCGGACTGCATGAATTTGCCCAGGAGGTGGTAACACCCCCAGAGAAAAGGACTTTGGGGCGGTGCTGGGTTTTCTCAGGAGGGTTCTGCCCCTTCTGGAAAGAGCTTGTCTTTGGGGAGCATGGGGAAAAGGAGCCGGGACTCCTGCAAAACCAAGCCTAGTTTCAGGTGGGCAGAGCAACCTGGCTTGCAGGAGAAGCAAACCCACCGCTCCTTCCCTCAGAAGCCACCACCTCCTCTTCCTCACCTGCAGGATCAGCTGAAGGACCTCTGTCCCTGTGGGTCTGGCCTTTTCTGGGGTCGTACCTCTCCCCGGAGTAGGGCTTTGCCTGGCAGCCACCAGCTTCGCTGGGAATCTTGAGGCCATGCTCCACTTGGCACAGGAGCCCTCCCGTTTCCCAACCAGGAGCACAAAGGCTGCAGACCCCCTACCCAGGCTTCACCCCCCGCCAGGCAGACAGAGCACGGGCACAGACCTCTGGGCTGGGACCAGGGCTCTGCCCCACTGAAGCGAGCTGTGCCCCAACAAGCCCTGGCACCTGCAGACCAGTGAGTCACAGGTACCAGTGAGCTTTTCTCCCTCACTGGCTCCAGTTCCTCCCAAACCAGTGGCGTTTTGGTAGCCAAGACTTTTGAGAGACCGGGACAGGGGACAGCAAGGAGCATCTGCAACCTGGGTGCCAGCCTGGGCTTGGGGACAGGGTGCCTGTGGCTGGGGGTAGCAGCGCTGCCAGAGCTTGTGAGCTTGGACCCCTGGCTCCTTGTAGCCCCTTTCTGGGGGTCTCAAGTGGTCCGGGTGCCCAGCCAGGGATAGCAGGAGAGGTAAGATGCCCTTGCGAAGTTCAGGGGTGCTGGGAGCATCCCCAGAGGGAGAGGGCGTCCCTTACTCCACAGGCAATTTCCATAATGGATGGGCAAGTCCCTTCTGGAGCAACGGCAGGAGCTGGGACACCTGAATCCCACTTCTGTCCTGGAGCTGGGGCTGCGCTGCCCCATCCCTGGCATGGGGCTAACGGCAACCCTCAGCCTGCTGTGCCAAAGGAAGCCAAGCCCCCAGGCTGTTCCGAGCTCCCTGTCTTCCCCATGCCCAGGCTGACATGCATTTTTCCAAGCCCAGGCTCTGCTTTCCAAGGCCCTCGGGAGATGTCAGTGCCAGCGCCGCTGCGGGGAGCCGTACCCACACGACGCATTCAGGGCTGCGTGGGTGCTCCCTGGCAGGGAGATGCTGGCCTTGGCTTTCTCCTCCTGCGCTCAGTGTCTGCCCAAGGAAACCGAGCCACGCTGGGGTGGGGAGCAATGCTGCTGCCCCAGCTGAGGGCTGGTGCGTCCTTGGGGAAGCTCTGAACCATCTGGGCTCTTCCCAGCCACCTGATTTCCCATACAAACGCTCACTCGTCTTTGCTCTTTTCTTTCCTAGCTCGTATCTGTGGCCAGAGGAGTCAGTGCCCACCTGGGCACCTCCCCGGGTATTTGTCAGCACTGCGATGGCAGCAGGAGGAGAGAAATCCCTTGTGAAGAACGGCTGAGGGACAGGAGCATGGGTGAAAGGCCTGATCCTGCAGCTCTGTGGCTGTGCTGAGCCCAGTGCCGGCTCAGAGCCACGGCCAAGGCTCCACCAAGTGTCCTTCTTGCCCCTTGGCAGACGTCCTCCTACCCCAGTTGCTCCACACAAGCCAACTGGAGCCTGGCCAGTCACCATGGGCTGGCTCCATGCCCGTGTCTTGCCATGTTTCTCCCTTCTGCCCCATGCCGTGTGCTAGATCCTGGGAGATGAGCTATGCCAGGGACCCCATCACTGCTTGCAGGCAGCTTATAGCCCCCACCATGGTCATCGCCAGCCTCACGAGACGGATACAGCTTCTCCTCTGGGAACATGGGGAGAAACGGGACTGCGGAAAGCTGGGACAAGCTCCATCAGCTTGGCAGCAGGTCAGTCGATCCCATTTTTCAAGCTGACAGGAGACAGGGGCAGGATGACCCAGCTTGGACCTCTGCAACTGAGAATCACGCTTGGTGAGTGCTTTGCCATCACAAGTGCTCCCCAGGAGCCCATCCTTCTGCTCTCTAAGACACGGCTTGTCCCAGGGAGCACATACTGGAGCTGAGCTGCCAGGGACCGTCCTGGCCATGGTAACTTGGAGGCCAAGGATGCTCAAGCACCTTACGGTGCTCCAGGACACGTGTTCCTCAGGAAGCCTCAGTGAGAGGCCAGATGGGCAGGTCTCCCTGCTGAAATGCTTGCCGAGTGGTGGTGGCTTTTCCTTTGCACAGGTTCCGGGTGTTTGTGCTTGTGCAGCTGATCCTCTCTCCGCTTCCTCTCCTGCCTGATGTTTCCTGCCTCCCTCACTCCCTTTTGCCGGCTTTGCCCTTTCTGTCAGGCTTATCCCCTGGCTCTGGAGACCAGATCAGACCTCAGCGTTCCTCCTTGCCCACCGTGATGACACCACGCAGCCCTGAGCACCATGCCCTGGGTCCTTTCCGTGGCCTGCAGCACACAGTGACCCAGGAGACACTTGAAACACCAACTCCATGACCATCTAGCAGCTTCTTGGGAGCACGAGCAAGCTGGGACAGAGGAAGGATGATTTAGGATCCATCCGCTTTTAGCAGCTGATCCATCTCTATCCTGAAGCTGGGGTACAGGTGCCAACTGGACCAGCGTGTTGCCACGGGGGGCTGCTGGGTCCAGCAGTAGGGAAATCTGGATAACCCCTCTGGGACCCTTCACGCAGGGGCTGCACAAGGGTATGGGAACACATCTGGGGACTTCCAGTGGGAAGGGCATGGGAACACATCTGGGGACCATGGGTGGGGAGGTTGTCACCCAGGGCAGCTCAGACTGCCTCCACCAGCCGAGCCATAGTAGCATCTGGGAGCAAGAGTATCTCTGCTCTGAGGAGCCCAGAAGCTCTCCAGGGATTGACTTCAGTGGTGGGAAAGGCCCATGTTTCCCTGGGTCTTCCACCAGCTGCCTTCTTTCAGACCAACAGCCACTGGCAAAGACTTGTTGCACCAGGAGCTGGGGTCAGGCAGGTCCGTGGGTCACGAGAGGAGCGGGGAGGACGTGGGGAGTCCTGGGCAGGACTTGCCAGGATCAAGGCAAGACTCATTTTAAGAAGCAACCTCCCATGCCCAGGTGGGGCAACCAGCAGTAGGCAGGGCTCCCGTGAAAGGCAAAGCCTGCTCCAGGAGGAGAGGGTCAAAAGAGGAGATTGGGAAAGGAAAAGGGCTGCTCCGGTGACACAGAGGCGGCTGCGTAGGGGGAGCGGGAGGCAGGTCGCAAACAGCCATCACGCGAGGAAGCGCTGGGACATCGGCCAGATGTGGCTGGGGCGGCTGGCTGCAGCAGACCTGCGGTGGCCGGGGAAGAACCGGGAGCAGGGGCAACCAGAACTCCAACCAGGACCTGGAGATCCCCTCGGCAGGAGTCTTCTTCCAGCCAAAAGAGCTCTTCGTTCTGCT